GGTCGAGCCTCTGACAGGGTTACCTTGCTGGCAGCTGCACAGAGGTAACAGGGGTTTTTACTATTTCTAAGGGTCCCAAACTGGCCAGGGCCCTTGCTGCTTTGACAAAGCTGGTGGTTTAATGGCCCCTGCTGGGCACGTGATAGAAATGTCCGCAGTGAAGAGCACAAGCGGAAGATTTACCCTGGCCCGAGAGCCCCAGTGGCCCCAGAGCTGGTGCTGGGAAATGAGACGGGGCAGGAGCCAGCGGAAAGAAGGGGAAGGGAGGGAGCAGAACGCGGGGTCACCAGAGCTTTCAATGACTCTGCAGAGAGACCCAGGTCTCCCAGAACTCAAAGCCAATGACACTGAAGGAATGCAAGAAGGAAGACAAGGCAGACAGGGAGTTTCAGAAGAAATTCAAGGTAAGCAGCAACAAGCAGTTATTTATCCCGCTAAGCTCCCCTTCACCTCCTGGGAAAGGTGCAACAGGATGGCAGACAGGAGCTGTGCTCCACAGAGACCATCCGATACACACCCGCGTTGTTCCCCACTGAAACGTTCCCAGATGAGACCAGTCCCATAGAGAGGGATCTGCTTTTTCCCGAGGAGGGAGAGAGGTCAGCGCTGCCTGGTTTGTGCTTCCCGGGGGCAGCTGCCAAGCTGCAGCACTGCTATTTGTGTTTCAGTTTGAAGGAAGTATCAAGGTCCTGACTCAAATGATGGTTGACCCTGCAGTGATTGAGAAGAAGGGGAGAGGGAAAAACCTGCCGCTGAGACGAGGAGAAATTCTCGATGTCATTCAATTTACAGATGAGGAGCTAATCCTCTGCCGAAACAGCAAGAGGAAGTGTAAGTCTGTGGGAGCTGAGGCTTTGCCTGCAGCGGCAATCACAGCGCACGAAGTTTTAGGCACGAGTTTCTTCATGCGCACACACCCCAGGAGGCAGCAGGAGACATCCCCTTGCATTGGCCAGACCTGACATGTACCCCAGGTGGCAAATGTTCCCACTTCTCTGCACAAACATCCAGCTCTTTCAGTCGGCACCAGCACTTCTGCTGTTAGCTGGGCTTGACATCACCCTCTGCTAAAAACCCTCACAGCTGCTGGAGCCTCTCGAACAGCACATCAGGCTTTGCTGCGGGCACGGCCTCACGAGCCATGTTTTGTACCAAAGGACGCTCCAACGAGCATCAAGTGGGCTGAGGGACGGGGACCAGCCACCCAGCTTGGCAGGCTCCTTTCCTGCTTTGCCCTGAGCCGGTTCCTCCCAAGGGTCCAGCTTGGCTTCCCAGAGCCAGGCTCCTCCTTGCCCCCAGCTCTCCCTGGGAAAGTGGCGTGTTGCAGGAGCAGGTGCTGGGGTGAGACCCTGCTGGTGCCACAGCTCCCACCACAACCTGACACACTTTCTCTGGCTCTGTTGCAGATGGCTACGTGCCCCGGGCTGTGATGCTACACCTGTGAGTAACTCTTCCCTCCCCACTCCATGAGCTGTAGCAATTGGCCAGCGAGGGCGCAGCTCCAAGCCAGCCTTGGCCGTTGAGTTGCCAACTCAAAGCCATCCAACCCAGGCAGTGGCCACAAGCATAACACGGGCTGCTTATCCTTGGGGTGGAATCTGCCATTTCTGGAACTGGGAGCAACTTCCTGGGGTGCTGTGAGTGCTCCCTAAGCTGTGGTCCCTGCCCAGGTGCTGCTGGTGGCACGGAGGGACGGG